TTAAACACAATTAATCCTGTTTTGGTAACATCGGCTGTTGCGGCTGCCCCTTTTAAGAAATGTCGCTGCTGCCGTTGCCGCCCCTTTATCGCTCCACAAACAATGGGACTGTGGCACTCAACAGACAAACAGACCGAGCGACTTGGCCAAATGAAGGAATGAAGAGAGCACCGGCTGGAGGTCCAGAAAAAAAGCCGCTGTCTGGCCAAGAGAGCTCTACTCTTGTCTGGCCGGTCCGCACCCCGTTTGCTCTTAGCATACTCCCCCGGCACCCACTTTGTGTCACTGAATGTCTGCGGATGTTTGCTTTTGCAACATTGTTGCTCAAGTTTATTTTTAGACACATTTCCATGATGTTTCGTTTTTTTTATCCGCCTTCCAAGCTGACGCTGCACATTGGACAATGAGCGTTGGATCGCCGTAATCTCTTATTAATGCAAAACGAACGCCAATAATTTTATGTTATCTATTTAATTGGTTCAGCCCTATAAGCGGTAAATAAAGACAATAAAACTAATGCTTAATCTGTAGAAGTAATAAAATGGCTCAAACACTTCATAATAATCAATTACAGGCTGTTAAATGAAATTAACCAGAAGATCTTAAACAAAAAATAAACCAATGCGAATATAAAACCCTATTTGCATTTACCTCATTTCAGTGTCCCTTTTATCGATGATGTTGATAGTTTCTATTTTATTTATTATTATTGACTTCTGAATGAAATTATAATACTCTATTCTTAATCAGCATCTGTACTAGAGTCGATCTGTGCGTCCGTGTCTACGCAAACTAGTTTCTCAATTCAAGCTATCTGCATGAAATTTTTCCAAAAATTTTCTTTCTATCGCATATAGCCCCCATAAAAAAATGAAAAAATTATAATTTTGCTGTTTTTTAAATTTTTTAGTTCTTCGAGATTTAGTAATGGTTTATTATTTTTAAATTACCTATTAAATTTTATTAATCGAGTGACTATATCATAAAGCTCCCATGGGAACAAACGGAACACAACACAAAATAAATATAAAAAAATTTAAACTTATATTTTTACTTTTTTCTTTATTTTTCTTTGGATATAGTTATGATTTAATTATTCCGAATTACGCTTTTAGTCATATACATACATAGATGCCATAGGTACGGAGCGATCGAATAATTTAGCTCAAAATTTCCACAGCTTCAATGTTCTTAAACATTTTCACTTATAAATCGAGAATTTTATGTTTTAAGGAATATTTCATTTTGGCAATATCTGCAAGGGTGTATAGACTTCGGCTTGCCGAAGTTCTTTATTTTTCTTGTTTTCTTTGTTTTTTGAAGGCCTGCTATCGCTGTTGTACATTTATGTATTTGTTAGCCCCATGCATAGGCGGTAGCTTTACAATTTAATGGTTTTTAAATTATATAGTCGTCCGATCTGGCTCGTTCCGACTTATATACTACCTGCAATAGAAAGACAACTTTTGGGAAAGTTTCATGCAGATCGCTTTTAAACTGAGGGACTAGTTTGCCTAGAAACGGACGGACAGACAGACATGGATAGATCGACTCGCCTAGTGATGCTGATCAAGAATATATATACTTTATGGGGGTCGGAAACGTCTCCTTCACTGCGTTGCAAACTTCTGACTGAAATTATAATACCTTCTGCAAGGGTATAAAAACAGTGAATTAGACGAATATCAATTTAAATGCCAATTTTAATGCAAATCCATATTCTCCCGCCTTCGTTTGCCATTTGTCTTGTCCTGTTGTTAGTTATGTTACTTATCGAGTAAATATCGGTAAAAATCAATATACCGTAGAAAGAAGCAATTTGATGCACTTTTCCCCATCTCTAGCCATATAAAACCTATGTAATAAAAACTGCGTTTAGTTATAAGTAGAGACTTTAACTACCGTTAGAAGGCAAACGAATTTTTTGTTACTATTTATTTTCGTAAAATGTTAACTTTACCCAAAAATGTCACCAAACATAAAATGTGCATTTAAACTTAATCTATATCCTTTAATTAAGTTATTTGTTGATCAAGGTCATATGTTTATTGGATGATAATAGCAAAGAAACTAAGCACAACAGTTTTTACCATTTTTTTTTTCTACAAGAAATCGATCTTGTCGACAACATTGAACAATTCGTTCGGAATTAGGTTAGGAAGTACAACCGGAAGTACACGGTGTTGTATGTATGTTTATTTGTAATAGTTTTCAATTTTGTTTCTTTCAGTGTAAAGTAGTTACATGTGTAGGTGCTTAACTAATTTGGGATTGTTGTTCTGATTTGTAAATTCTGTAGTGCACACCTAATTACAAATTACAAATTACGACCAATACCACTAGGGACTACAATTAAACTACGACCGCAGTTTTACAACTTTACAACCGCATGTTTAGTTGATTCTTTTCTTCCTGTTCTTCCCCTTTGAGCGGTTTTACAAGGTGTAGTATTAATATTTTTGGTACTGTACCACATTGCGCGGCAACAACAACCAACAAAACACCAACTAAGGGCCAACGACTCCGACGTTTTCTGCACTAAGCACACACACGCATGCAAACTGTCTGTCCCTTGTGCACTCACATGCGTTCCGGGGGAGCGAGGAAGAAAGTCGTGCGCCTTATTTCCATTCATAAGCGTTGCTGTCGTTGTGCTTGGCAACTTGGTAGAGAGACATAATTTATAAATAAACTTTTTGCATGTTTATCCAAGCTCTTTTTATATATATTTCAATAATAATTCAAACTATATTTTTTAACATTTGTACGATAATCTAATTTTGGAAACAAATAAACAAATTGACTACATCTAAAATTATTCCATTTATTATAAGCAAATTATCTGGTTTAAAACCAAATACTTATGTGTTCCCATAAACCCTTTTTCCTTCGCGTATTTCTCTGCTCCTCGCCCTTTTCCGCGTTTCAAAATTCTCATCTATCCTTTTGCTTGTTATTATCGCTGACATGCGCTCTGTGTACGCTCTCACGGTCTTTGCCAACGTGCCCGATACACTCTCTTTATCCCTCTGTCTGGCCGCCGCCTTACTGCCATAGCACTTTGTTGTTGTTCTGCGGCTTTCGTCCTGTCAGCGTGTTTTTATACTCACTGCGCTTTAGCATGTCTATCCGCAAACAAAAAAAACGTACTTTTGGGAAGAGAACGAAGCATGCAGACGCCGACGCCGTTCCTGCTCGCTTGCTCTCGCGCCGCGTCCTTATAATATTTTAGTTTGTTTTCGTCCCATTCGCATTCGTTTTCACACATTGCGCCTTGCGTCATTTTTCGGGGTCAACGTCATCTCAAGGGTTGTCGGCGCTCTGCTTCTGCCGGCGTCGCTGCTCTTCTTGCATGCCTGGCGACTTTATATTGTGTTGGGTTTTGTTTTTGTTGTTTTTAGCTTGACTCGTATTTTTTGTCATGTCTCTCGCGTCGCCAAGCGCTCTTTTCTTGACTTTTCTCTCTCATTTTCTGTTGCAGCACATGTTTAATGCCGGCGACGCGCCTACTTGCTTTGTGTGTTAAGTTTTAGGGTGTGTGGTGATTTGTTTTTTTGACCAAATAAATTGTTTTGCCAAACGCTGTGAGATTAAAAGTCAAAAATTTCATGCCAATCACTTAATATTTCCTGTAGCCTCTATTCTGTTAAATCAACATTTCAGATTTTAGTCCAGTCTTTAAAAAACTTTGTTTATCAAATTTGCCGTTAGTTCTCAAAAACATCATAAGAAATTTATTAACTTATCTGCAAACTTTCAATTACTTTCATTTTATAAAACAACATCTGTTTAAATTAACTTTTAATTTTTTTTTCTGATTTTGCGGTCGAGTTCCCCATAATAATGGCTGCCCGTTCGACCGTCCGTTTTTACTCAAACTTGTTTCTCAGTTTTAACGATTTTTTTCTACAAGCCTAATTTCTATTGCAGGAAGCACAGTGGCTTACAGCGTATTTCGTGCAGAGTACAACTGAACATTAAAGACGTTTATCAAACACGAGTTATCAAACAAATTTAAACGCAGTTTTTTAAGTTGTATTTTTAAATAGATTTAGACCCTCAATTGTTTCACAATTCCTTTAGATACAATTAAAAAAAAAAAAGAAGAATTTTTTTCTGACTATTTCAATCTAACATTTATTCGCACCTAATATTAAAAATATATTGATACATATTATTTTGTGTTAGATTTTAACCCGAATTTCTTTTACCCTTGCAGCTATTGGCAAAATAAAACATTCTTGAAAACATTAAAATTATAAATTACTTGCGTGTACTACCAGCAATAGAAAACCACTTTTGGGAAAGTTTTATGCAGATAGCTTTAACACAGAAGGACGGACATGCCTAGATTGACTCTCTTAGTGTTGCTGATCAATAATATCTATACTTAATAGGCTCGGAAATGTCTGCTTAACTCTCAGTTGATATCAAGTTAGTAGAACACCCTACTAAAATTGAACTTTTCCAAAATGTTTTTAGCAGGGCTTTTGCCGTTTTTTATCCGTTAAAAAACATTTAATGCTGTTAAAAAAAAAAAAAAAAAAAAAAATTTGTTCTGCTAAGTGGAACACCCTACTAATCATGAACTTATCCAAAATGTTTTTACTGGATTGTTCCGATATCTATTCCGTTATTTTGAGGCTCTTGCTTAAAGCGTTAAAAAAAAAACTGCCATGGTCTTTTAAGTTAGCAATACACCCAAATAGAGTTAAACTTTTCCATCCGTAAGTTATTTGTGAAAGAAAAAAATAGACCGCTCGTGCCGAGTTCTGATTAAAAGCCAACACTCTAAAAGCTGGTAAATCTTAAAAAAATAGCAGTTACATTTAACGAGGCTATGTTTTACAAGCTAAGCTTAATAATTGAAAATTCGGCCTTTATATGCTATTTTTTATAACAATAAATCTTTTTTTATAATATTATCAAATCAATTTGAATTCGAACAAATTATAATTTTATTCTCATCACCTCTAATTTCTCTAATTTTCACATTTCAGATCGGCGTCGACCAAGTGCACCATTGAGATGAAATGATAATCGAGTGCCTGCCGCGAAGGTTAGAAAGTAAAAATCATGTGAAAAAAGTGAGAAAAAGTCAGGCATGCTATGTGACAACAACCACAAATACTTGTGAACAAAAGATCAAGAAAGCAACAGAAACGGAAACAACAACGAAAAAAAAAAACTATAACTTAAATAAATAAAATTGCTAGTCAGAAAAAAAACAACAGTAACCAGGGAACAAAGCCAGAGAAAGAGAGAGGAAAAAATAAGTCTTTAAAGTCGCCGAATTCCGACCCCAAGTGCATTTTCTCCACCTAGTTCGTTTTTTCGAATTTTCTTTTGACAACGGATAAAGCTTTCGTCGAAAGTTGAACAAAATGTGCAAAGACAACTCCGGAGAAAAATATTGAAACGTGTCTGAATTTATAGAAATTTATAAAAATAAAGAAAACAAAAAAACGGCATATATATATATATCTGTCATTCTTTATTCTCACCTGAGGTAAGTTACATTTCCTTCTCTTTCTTCAAATAATTTAATTAAAATAAAATCTTCTGGGCCGCCAAAATATATTTTTTATGACCAGGTGTTTTAAATACCCAATAAAAATGTGTATACGATATCTTAATAAATATCATTTATTTATTCAAAAATAGTTAAATCGCATTTATACAAACTTTAAAGATTGTAATTCTGTCTTTGATTGCTAGAAATGTAATTTTAAGTTTATAAAAACGAGAAACTAAAAAAAAATATTGTGTTAAGTGTTTCTAAAATAAGTCAAACTAGGAATAAAACCCAACTTCCGCACGCACATAGATAGTTTATAAAACAATGATTTTTAGATTTTCCGATCAATTTCAACACTTCCTATGGAGAATATATTAATTTATTTTTTTAATTTTTTTTTATCAACTTAGCAGAACTAAAAAATAAGAGCGGGAAACTTTTTGGCCTCACGAATAATTTACAGATAAGTAACGGCAAATTTCCAGTTAAAAGCATTTTGGAAAAGTTCAAGGTAAGTTACTTGATATCAAGTTGACAGAACATATCGAAATTATTAACAAAATTGATCGTCAAATTTTTTTTTCCAAATAATTTACGGCAAAATGTCGATAAGAAAATAGTTTAAATAAAATTAGACAAAAAGGGAATGTTTCGTTTGTTACACTTTCCGGAATTCTAACAGGTCTGCTTTTTTAAAACTGTTTCATGAGTTTAACTCAGTCGATTTTCCAAAAAAATTTTCTATCGTTTGGGTGTGTTTGTAAAAGTTAAATTATGTGGATTTTTCAATAAAATCCTATATCCTATAGTGGATTTTGATAAAATTCAAGCGAATATTTTGGGAAAGGCTAGAAATATCTTTACATTCAGTCTGTATATGTTGAAAAACGACAAGGTTACGTTAATTTTCCTATATGGATTGCATGATGGAGGCCGGCAACCGACCGTATCAGCAGAAGTTGATGTTGAAGTAGCAGTAGTCGCTCAAATGCGCACTCACCGTCTGGGCATTTTTACAGTTTTGGAACAGACACTCGCACACATGGGGACCACTCTTAAGACGATGTTTGACGCCATAAAATGGAGCGGTTCGGGGTGCGGATATATACAATGTGGCAAGCAGTATGCCATTGCAATTGCAATAACATTTCTTTATTGCTCTAACGAATATCTGTACGCCTCGTTGTTGACGCCGTCTCATTGTATTTGCGGTTATTTTATGTGGTTGAATCGAGTCGAGCCGGAAGTTGTTTCAACTAAAAAGAAAACCTGACTGAAAAATGAAACAGCATGTGCATAAAATTAGCAGTACAACTTTAACAATCTAAACTTTTTTTATTAAACATAATTTGCCCTTAATTACCTGTAAATTATTCGTGAAAAATTAAAATTTGCTGCCACATTTTTTAAAAAGTTATCCCCAAAACTAAAATTAAACTTTTTTAATTTTTTTTTTTGCATTAATTTGACCCTAACTATCCCTAAATTATTCGTGAAATAATAAAATTTACCGCCTTTGTTTTTATGTTTTTTTTAAACCCTTTGTACTGTAAGCTTGATAGCAAGTTAGCAGTACACCAAAACGAAACTTAAACTTTTTCAATTTTTTTTTGCAGGAATTTGGCGAAAAAATGTGTAAAATATTCGTAAAATAATCAAATTTGCCGCTCGTGTTTTAATATGTTTTTTATAAAACAAACCCTACACTTTAACTTTTTTAAGTTTTTCTTTCGCGGGAATTTGCGTAATATCCGTAAATTATTCGTTAAAGAATTAAACTTCCCGCTCATGTTTTAAAGATTTATTAATGAAAAACAAGCAACACATTATTTTATAAAATTCAGCTTTTACTTAACCATTTTCCTTGGAATTCCTAATTTTTTAATCTTTTATTAAAAAAATGACACTACTAACCTGGTGATTGCTGATGTATAAAGTCAGAGTGAAAGGAACTGTGAGCAGGGAGTAAGGTGTTCTACACACTCTTAACTTCTAGTTTTGGCAATGCAGTTTGAAATTTGTTAGTATAGTATTCAATGAAGAACTTGATCTTCGTTTTTTTTGTACTATCCAAGTCATTTGGGGACAACTTCGGGCCATGGTATTGGTATGCTTAAAAAATAGTTAAAGCAAATACTTGTGATATTAAACAAAAACATCTATTGACGAGGTAAGATTACAGTGAACATGTCAAGATTATTATTTATTTGTAATCAAAAATTAAACACAAAACGGAACCGTTTTGAAGCCGGGAAGCTTGACAACGGGAAGTATGCCAAAACCAATTTGTGATAGTTGTCTGGACAACACATCTGCTGACGCCTTATTTTGCTATAGGCTATACAAAAAAACCATCCCTTTTTCAATTTCGACTTGATCGAGATTTGAAATTTAAACACATCCTTTTGCGATATTATGCATTAATTTTAAATAAAAAAAACTTTAAACACAAGCGGCATTTTTGATTCTTTCGCGAATAATTTCAGCCAATTTCCTCTTGTTATTATAAGAAAATTACTTCTTCTTTGGGACTTTAATGGCCAGCAGTTTGCGGTTAGCACGTATTGGCTGTCATTTATTCATCCAGGCAGTGCATTCACACAGATGTTGATTGAGATAGCAACTGAGCACGTCTGAGTTCTGAGGGTTTTTCATATTGGGGCTTGCACCTTGTTTTGTACCGATCTCCAAGTAAGCGCAATTCTGTCAGTTGTTCAATTAGATGCACTTCCGCTGGATTTATTTTCCTTTATTTCTCAGTCGCTCTATTTCTATAGTTTTTTTTATGTGCGTGTGACTGTTTGAAACTGACTGAAACAAGAAAGGAAGCAAATTTCGGCTTGCCGAAGTTTATATACCCTTGCAGCTATTACCAAAATTAAACATTCTTTAAAATATCTTAATTTCGATTTATATGCGTATATGTTTAAAAATATTGAAGCTAGGCCGATTTTCAGCTAGTTTATTCGATCGTTCCTATTGCAGCTATATGATATCGTTCTCCGATTTGAATTAAATTAAAAGCTCAATTCTGAACTGTCAAATTATTAATAAATCAAAAGGAATTTAAAAAAAATTACAAAATAAAAAAGTTAATTTTTTTTTTAATTTTGTTATGTTCCCATGGAAGCTTTTAGTTATAGTCGTCCGATTTTAATTAAATTAAAACCGTAATTCTGAAATATTTACCATTAAATATAAAAAAATTAAAAACAGCACACTTTTAATTTTTTTGATTTATTTTTCCGATTGTTCAAACTTATTTACTACCTGGAATAGAAAGACAATTTTTGGGAAAATTTCATGCAAATAGCTTTACAACTGGTATACTAGTTTAAGTAGAAAAGGACGGACAGACGGACATGGCTAGATCGACTTTCCTAGTGATGCTGATCAAGAATATATATACTTTATAGGTCGGAAATGTCTCCTTCACTGCGTTGAAAACTTCTAAGTGAAATCAAAATACCCTCTGCAAGAGTGTATAATTGTCAAAAGACAATTTGCAAATAGTCAAAAGATATTATACTTTGCACAGACTAGAAGTGACAGACTATGGATTTAACTGATAAAATGTCATATTTTTGCAGCTTTTAAATTATGATACATTTTCACAAGAGCTTGTTTAAAAAGCAAGTCTGAACTGCGAAAATTATTTGTATGTTGCAGGCAATAACTTAACGTCATTTGACACGCGTCTTTGTCACGAAAAGAGGATGATCGTTGATAAAAAAATGTTTATTTTTACATTAGCCCAATGTGGCTGCCTTGGGGGACGCCTGGATCGGATCAACTAAAAGACAGACAGCGTATTGGCTAAATAAATGTATTAAAGTATGCAATTCATCAATCACGAGGTTTTTCTAGCTATTAATCATCATTTTTGTTAGCTTACTGGTGCTTTTCCAGATTTTGTTCATTTTCATTTACAAATCAAGTCAGAGAACCGCTTTATTTTTACAGCGAAACACATGTACTAAGTATACTAATTCTGCGCTGTTGCGTTGACTGACCGATAACGAAAGAAAACTCGTAATTAAGAGCCATGAACGTAAAGATACAATTTGAATTAAGCTGTAAATAGTTTTCTAACTACATATTAATAAACTATCGAGGGGAGAGGGAGTCACCGAGATGATAGATTAGACGTATTAGATGGTGGGCTGATATATGATAACTTTTTTCGGTTTTTTTTTTATTCATTTATTGTGTGCCTTTAATTAAACATTATGTCCGAAGACAGTTAACCCGGATGTACTTTTCCTCCCACCTTCGTTTTTTTTCTCTTTTTTACGCTGTGGCTGTGCCTCATAAACTAGTGGCAACAGCTGCAGCCGCAAATGTCAATCGAAATGCGAAGGGTGTCAGAGGGGGATGGCCACATTCCAACGTCTGTAGATGTTTGTCTTTCTTTTTGTTGTTAAGAATGCCGAAGTTGAAAAAGAAATCGGAGATAAAGAAGCAGCAGCACCAGCAGCAGCAACATTAATCGTGGCATCACATCTTATGAAAACTCACCATGTTAAAATCACGTTTTAAGTTATGTGAACGACGCGTGAATAAGTTGAAGTCCAGAATTTGAATAACGAGGAAAAGAGATAGCCAGATGACAGCAGAAAGAGATGCTGCACGCTCCTAGCATCTGCTGATGGCAATGCAATTCTAGAGATGTTTTGTAAAGGAAATTTAGTTCGAAATTTGTTAGCTAAGTAACGGGTATGTAATAGTCGGTTTCTTGTTATCTGTACACTGGAAAATCTTGGACGACTATATCCTATAGCTCCCGTAGGAACGATCAGGTCAAATTCAATCTCTCTGTTTTTATATTTGTGTATAACCGCTGGTGTTTTGACTTAGATTAGGTTTTTATAGAAATTATAACCTTTCTATTAAGTTTTTTTCCATATGTATCTCATCCCACCATGCGACTGTATGGCCATTTTTTGTGCAGTGTAACAGAAAGATTGTTGAAACATTTCAAATCGTATTTT